CCCCCCCCCCTACCACATTTGCGACGTTGCCGATACGACATCAGTCAGCCGCCTCTTTGAAATGGCAGACACGGTTCACGTCGAGAGCCGTCGTTAAAATTTTCAAAAGTAAAAACCTACGATTGACCCCAATTTTTCAAATTGTGGAGGAGGCAAAAAATACATATTAGCTCTATGTAAAAAGTTATGGTAATCTGAATGACATAGTCCAACTTAACTGCAATTCCAGGTTTTTGTAGGCCTTCTTGGCATGCTGAGGTTAGTGTCAAAAATAAGAATTTTACAAATGGAATATTTATTGTTTCTATTTTGACATGTGCTGGTCAAGGGAAATTAACAAGTAGTGTAAAATGCTCGTTACTTGCACCTATTTTGTGGAATGGTATTGTACTGATGTAAAAAGGGAAGGATTCAAGAAAAAAACACTCAGATTTCATATAAAAATTTCAACTGCATATTTATTTAAACTGGAAAATAAAAGATTAGAAAACAATGGACAAGGCTCAAATATTGTCAAGCGGATACGATAGGAGAGGTCGAAGGAAAGAAACAAATATCCTAGGAGGAACCTGAGCTTGACGTCATATGCTGGCAGTCACGGCTCAAATTCCTCCATGTGAAAAAGTAGAGTAACAATGAGGGTAATTCCACAAATTGAACATGCAACAATCAAATTTTAATACAATACACAATAGTAAGAAATATGATAAGTGAAAAGATATCACTATTGGTAATAAATATTTTGACAGAATAACTTATTGGAATTAGAGATCTTGACTTCTTGCATCAAAAACAAACAGCATATTTTGTAGACACTACAGCAACTACTTACCGTAGTTGTCAAACAGTTGAAAAAAAATTGTATTATTTATTTCTGATATTTCTTTTGAACATTAAGACAGAATTGAGAAGTCTATATGTGGGTCCCACCACCACCAACACCTTGCTAAGCAGGAATAGCTTGGCAAATGAAGTCCTCATAAGGGACACAACTTACATGATGGAGCCGGCGACACCTTAAACAAAAAGAAAAACATGAGTTAAAATACTAGCTCAAAATAAAAATACTTTCCTGTGAAAACATACACCACAACAACCCATCAAACCTGCTACATGAATCAATGATATCATCATCATCAGTACAAGCCAAAGTGCAAATAGAACAGAATGACAAATCAAATTTCTTCACATTATTGATGCAACTGGCACAAATAGTTTCAGTAATGAATTTGCGGTAGTGTAACAGATCTGCTACATTAGTATATTCTTCATTTTCTATAGTTTGATGTCCAAACCAACAAATATGAACCCCACAGTTCAGTGAATCAGTTTGTGGCTTGTCATCAATTTCATTGATACTCCAATTGAGCACATCTGGCCTGACTGTTGTCATAAGTAACTTGACAGAATTTATAAACTTCTGCACCTCTGGGCTCAATCTTCTCTTTAAAGGGTCAAAATAAATCATTTTTTGAGATGTAGCATTTACTGAAAGAATGGTCCAATGGTTGTCTCCAAGATTAGCTGGAAACAGAAAAATATTCTTTTCTGGCATAGCAGCACTGAACAGTCTTTTGAGAAGATTACCCCTTGACAAAGACAATGAACAGTCAGAGGCAACAACAAAGATTTCATCATTGGTAGCAGCCAAAATACTAAGGAAAGAGTTTATTACATCTGAGAGAAGCCAGCCAACTTCAAAATTAGGGAGATAAGATTTCAAATATTTTACTTCAGCATCAGTTAATTCAATCTCTAGCGACTTGAGATGAATGATGCCAATTTTAAAGTCTCCAATGAATAAAATAGGTTCTAGTGGGTTACTACTAAAACTATTCAAAGGGTTGTCTCCTTTAGCAACTTCATTTAAAGATAAGTTCTGCGAATGGTTGAAAAAGATTTCTTCCTCTGACTCATCACTGCACAACTGAAGGAGGTCAATTTTGGCAGCATTCCTGACTGCGAATTTTGAAGCTGCAGATTCTTGTTTCTTTTGATTTTTCTTTTTCTTCCTTTTGAAAGGGAGTACTTGGGAATCCTGTGTCTTGAGTTTCTGCCGTGGAGCGATCTTCACACTAGCTGGCATTGATTTCACAGTTTGATCCAAGGTTATTTGATTGCATAAAGCATCACAATTTCGGTTCAAACTACTAATGGTCTCCGTACACATGTCCAGAAGGGTTGGAGGAATGCTTTTGTTTTCCAACTTTTTTGTGAACTTCACTACCTCACTTTCCAGGCTTAAATATTTGCGACATAGTTGTTGTTGTATTTGCACTGCAGCACTGTCAGGCCTAATGCCTTCATCACAAACTACCTCAGGGGCTGTTTCCAGTATAACAGTGGAGTCATCTTTCCAATTATATGAGGGCAGTGTTTGACCTCTCATGAGGTAAGAGTGCAGTTTGTGAATGTGTTTACATAGTGGGACTGTGTCAGCACAGCTGCAAAAATACAAATGTGAACACAACCCCTGACAGGAAGGGTTGATACATTTGTCAAAACAGTGATCTAGTCTGCAAAATTCTGCCACTCGGTCAATGTGATAGTAATCATCTTCCTTTGTGGCTGACTTAAGGAACCACATGTTGACATTGTTTTCAGTAATATGACTGTCATCAATTAACATACCTCTTGTGTGCCTTGCAAAATTTTCTTGAGGGCTAACACTATATCCTAGTATAATCTCCCTTTCTCCTCTTATGTAGTCCATCTTTTCCATGTCAAGTAATTGGTTAATATGATCATCCACTCTTTTGTTTGGGAATCTCTTCTTCTTCAGTCGGTTATGGAATGACTCAGCAATCGAGATCGTGTTAATATTTAAATGATTCGGGTCAGTGCGATACGCCATAGTCCACTTTTCCTTTCTGGTGAAGTAATACTTGTTAATATAAGTCACAAAATCTTTAGCAGAAGAGGCATACTTCTTCAAAGAACGCAGAAGTAAGCTTAGAAAATTCATCCTTATTTTTTCAGAGGATTAGAACTTTCAAATCAACATAAAGAAACTCTCTTTCACTTTTCACAACTTTGTCTCTGATGTTGTCCTGAAATGTTCTGTCTATATGCCACAGACAAAGAATATGCACAATTTTAGCATTCATTCCCAGCTCAAAACCATTATGCAAGGCAACATCGTCATCGGTTATCAGACAGTTAATGACGAGAGGAGTACCATAATCATCACATCGCACTCCCAATGCTTCCACAAAATACCTGAAAACTTCACCTTTCATACTATTAGAAATGAAATGTGCAACAGCAGCTCCTCTTCTGTTAACATTCAATGTGTGAACTGTAAGTAATTTGTAGTTGTCCTACTGAGTCACATTGTGTGTGTCATCAACAATCAGAATATGCTTTGCTCCTTCCACCATTAGTTCTCTCTGTGATGCTGTTTGGATTCCGGCCATGAAAAGTTCTTCCTTCTCAGAATGTAAACAGTGAAGGTTTGGAGGACCAATTTCAATATCCTTACCCAGAGGTTTAAACAATACTACTGGGTTGTACGGTTCTTCTAGCAATGCATGAATGAGATATACAGTGGATTGTGCATCATCTTTGTGGTAACGTAGCATTTGCCTTTGCTTGGCAATTCTTTGTTTAATTTAAGATAAAGTGATAACAACAGTTCTTTGAGCCGAATTAGATTTTTCGAGATTTTTCATGGGCCCTGTTCTCTCTGCTGTAATCAGTTGATTGCAGTTTCCCAAATTTTTAAGGCAGGAACACCTAAAGCAATTTTGCTATTGATTTCTTCATTTTTTTCTGTTGTGGGTGGGTGGTGGGCAAAATCATGCCTGCTTAGTGGATGGCTGTGTGTGGCAAAGTACTTTACCTCTACATTTCCAGTGTCAAAATGGGTTACAATCATTCGGGCAATACAGATATTTCCTGTTTTGATTTGACCAATCCGAACCTTCCTGGAGGTCTTCCGATCAGGTTCAGACTGCCTCCTGTGGGCTTTACCTGACCCATCATGCTGGCAGTATAAGTAAATTTTGTTACCCTTTGCACCAGAATTTTTTGAAAAATATGAAAAGGATCTGACTTCCTCATCATCTTTCCACAAATTAAAAGCTTTTTCTGACTCAAAATGAAAAGTCTTAGAAGGAACAATCTTTTGATCATGTTTTTCTTTTAAGTGTGCAATCAATGGCCCTCTCTGGAAAAATTTTTGCTCACAGTCAGCAAACAGACACTTACTCTTTTTCTTTGAAGATACAAAACATATTTTCTTGTGGCGCAATAAATTGTCTTTTCTAGAGAATGTACTTTGGCATTGAGCACAGGAAAATGTTTCAGATTGTCGGTTTGTTCTCTCCTGCTGTTTATCAGACACTGGTTCTGAAACCAAAGAGAGATAGCGCATAAAATGAATATTTGGAGTAAACAAATTTAAATAAATGAACTTCTACAATTTATTAACAACATATGAACTGAAAATGATTGAACTATTACCTGCTGCTTTCTTTTGATCACTCAACTTCTTTTTCTTTTTCTTCTTGAAATCAGGGGATAAAGAGCAATCTAAAATTTGAATAACACATAAGATAAAAGTAATGAGAAAATTAACACCAGTATGACGGGAAGAAGAGGGTCAAAAGTCAATGCATTAAATAAATATTGTACCTGAATGAACATCATCAGACGATATGTCTATGTTATGAACCAGAGAGTTTACAACCTTAGTTACTTTATTCTCATTCAATTTAACATGAGAAGACACATAATCTCCATCTCTGACCAAAGGAATAGCTGTCACTGCTTTATTTTTGCTACAACTTTGTTGGGAGAGGGAGAGTCTGCCTTTCCTTTGAGAACCAAAAGAACTAAAAGCAGGAGAAGAAGGAAATTCTGCAAAAAGGAGAGAGAAATAAATATGTACAAATTATTAGATGCTAAGATAGTAAAATAAAAACATGTAGAAAACTAACTTTGTTGACTTGTGTCAGAAACTTTATCAAAACAAAGTTGCAAATTCCTAGTGATGGAAGAAACTGAAGGGGATTTTGAAATAAGAGACTGATCTACTTGAGTCACAACAGCAGGAGCAGCAATAGTTGAATCTAAATTTACTGAAAAAGAAAAAAAAAAGATTGATATCTTTCAGGTGAATAAAAGAAACCACTAAGGCAGACATTATGTAATGAATTCCATACTGCTCTGGGAGAATCCTGGATCCTTTGTTGGGGTTCCTGGAGCGCTATTAATAGGTTTTGTTGGTGTAGACAC